TGGCTCACCTGCACATGTACATGGCTTCAGGTTTCCCACAGCACAATTCAAGGATGTGTCAATTTCCTTTATGTTCTTATATTCTGAGATTATCTGGAGACATGCCCACCCATCTCCTCCCCATTTCCTTATATTTTTAGGGCTTAGGACAGTTTATATAAGTATTGGTGGGCTGGCGATTTAGCTCAGTGGTTCCGCCACCTGCCTCGAAAGTGCAAGGTCCTGAGTTCGATCCCCAGTACCAAAAAAAAAAAAGATAGATAAGTATTGGTTAGAGTCCATGTTAGCAAAGTATTTTAATTTTTCTATTGCAGTAGTTCTCATACTTTCTGGTCATAGGACTCTATATCTTTCTATGTACTTTTAAGATCACTTTAAATCTTTAAAAATTATTGAGGATCCTACAGAGCTTTTTAAACATGTGCTTTTAATTTATCTTCTTAGAAATTATAGTTAAAATTTTTTAAAATATTTACCAGTGTATTTAATTTACATTACTACATTATTAACAAATTACATCTTTTTTTTTTTTTGGTACTGGGGATCGAACTCAGGACCTTGCGCTTGTGAGGCAGGCGGCGGCACCACTGACCTAAATCCCTGGCCCAATTACATCTTTTTTTTTTGGTACCGGGGATCAAACTTGGGTCCTTGCACTTGCGCAGCAGGCACCAAAACCACTGAGCTAAATCCCCGGCCCTACATCTATTTTTATAAAATGAACTGTTTTTCAAAACAAAAAAGTAGTGGAAAAAGCAGTATTGTTAATATTTCTGTAATTCTCTTTAGTCTCTAGTTTAATGAAAATAGTATCATACTTGCTTCTGTGTGCATTAAATCTGTTGCAATATCTTTTTTTTTGGTTGAAGTCCTTGAAAAAATCCAATTTCATACATACAAATATATAGTTTTAAAAGGGAGGACTATTTTAATAGCCTTTTCAGATCATTTTGAATGTTCCTTCCTATTACTATTCTTAAACTCAGCAGTGGCCATTTTTTAAAATAATTGCAATATGGAACCTAAAACTATATCAGTAACTTCATACTCTGTTAAATTAAAATCCTTTGCTCTATTTCACATCATAAATCTTCAGTGTTTTTTAAATTAAACAACTTTATCTAACTTATGTACCAAACTTCCACAGGGCCAGGTACTAGACAACTAGGTACCACCTCTATAGCCCAGAGCTCTCTAAAATTATCCAGACTATCTAGTCCTAAACTTGCTCAAATTTGCCTACCCTGCTTCACCGATTCCTCCCTGGAGAAGCAACAATGAAGGCTTCGGACCATGCTCTCCTCTTGCCCCTTCTGCCTCCTGACTTCCCTTATACTTCCCTGTGTGGTACTCTTGGGCATAGCATGCCCTCCTCTCTTAGGAACTGAGTTATAAACTCTTCTTTAAAGGCAGTTCCCTCTGTACATCTTAAGAGACTTACCATCTTCCAGCCACATTCTTTAGAGCAGTTTTTCTCAAACATCTGTGATGAACACTAGTTTTTTTCAGATTTTTATGAACTGATACTGTGAAATACAGTAACAATGAATTTCTAGAAAAATTATCACATTCTTAGATGTTATGACAATGTTAATTGCTATAAAAATTTCTAAATGTTTCACTCAGTTTCTTTGCGTGTCTCATTGTAAACCAGTGACAGGTCTTGTACTAGCACTGATCTGTGAATCACACTCCTTAGCAGAGCAGATTCAGGGGAATGAGACAGTGGCTCAGTGAGGATGCCCAAACAGTGGGATGTGAGAAGAGAATAGTTAAGTCGAAGAGACCCTGATCCCATTACCCGTCCAGCAATGTGGAGAGAGGACACACAGTGACAGCTTTTACTCATAAACAAAACCCAACCAATATGTGCACCTCCTCCTCTCTGGTGCAAGGGTGTGGCAGAAGAGTAAAGTAAGTCAGGGTGATCAAAGATGTTGCTTACCTGCAGCCTTTTTCTAGAGGCATATAAATAGCACATGACATATATTTAACAATGGCCTTTTTGTAAATGATCTGTGAGTAATGATTTTGTTCATATGGCTCCCAGTGATCACCCATTTGTGTCTCAAGTTTGTGAGCTGCTTAGAGCCAACTCAGGAAAAGACTTCATAACAAATAAAGACAGGTGAGAAAAATGGAACACACTGGAATTAGAATTTTCCAAGAAAATATATGGATCTAGGGTCAGGGGCTTTGTACATGATTGGAAGAGAAAGAAACTGGTAGCATTTTGAGTACAGAGCCAGAAATGGAATTCTAGACATGACAAAGACGTACTAAAGAGGAGCTCCACAGTCCTTCCAAGACATCATCAAAAGTATTATCTTTAAAAAGATTTCATTAGCACTATATTGGCACAGACCCAGTCCATGAAGACCTTTCACAGTACAACCATTTTAGAAGGTTAAGGCTTAAACATTTAAGCAAAAAACTCATATAGTTTAGAATTCTGAAAATTGCTTCAAAGTCTTAATTGGACAAACTAAGTATCTCAAGGGAGCAAGGTGGATTGCCTAATGTCACGCTTGCCAAGTTTCTTTCTTTTAGAGGCGTGGTCCTCAAACTGGGCTTGCATCCCCTTTGGGGTACTTGAACACTTTCTAAGTACAGTTTTCTTTTGGTTTTTTTCTTTCGGTCTGAGGGATCAAACTCAGGACCTTGAGCTTGCCAGACAGGCGTGGCACCACTGAGCTACATGCCCAGCCCCTAAGTACAGTTTTCAGGAATTTGATTTCCTGACCTTTAACTGACCTGTAACTATACCTGAGGTCAGCCCTGTGGTTCTGTCACACTGACTCTCCTTTCCTCCTCTTTTCAGAGGTGTTCTCCTCCCACTCATCCAAAATGTTAGATAGGTCTCACCCCCTGCTGTATATTCATTGCTCTAATGTGTAAAAATCTTTGGGATGCCAAACAAAAGGATAATTGAAAATATTAGTGGCTACAATACCTGGGCGCTGTGGCCCAATGCCTGTAATCCCAGCACATTGAGAGGCTGAGCCAGGAGAATCACCATAGTGAGTTCGAGGTTAGCCTGAACTATCTTTTGAGACTCTGTCTCAAGAAACCAAAAAAGAAAATATTAGTGGCTACAAAATTTTTTTATTCCAGGAACCTCAAATCTATTGTAAGGCTTTCTGAATTTATCTGTATCTTACATATTTCTCCTAAGAGTGAAACAGAGTTGTAATCAAGGGTGTTAGGATTTTGTAAATTCAGTATTCAGATGATTATCACTGGAATACTATACATTTATAAAAAATGAAAAATGAGGTAAGATTTTGTCAACTACAGATAAGTCTAATCTAGCCAATTGCTTCGACATTGAAGACTGGATTTGCCAACTAGATCATGTAATGGACACTCATACGTAAGCTAAATCTGTGGCTTTAAGGTTTTGATAAAAATATATTTAAAGCATTTGATAAAGTCATTTTACACAAAATGTTATCAGTGATGTCAAGAAGTTAACAATGCTTTAAGTATTCCAACCTTTTATGTTGGGTTAAAGAAGGTACCTTTAAGTAAAAGAGGAACTGATATAACAGTAACCCATACAATTATTAATAAAATAAAACCTTTCTGAATCTTTTTCAGAAATCAAGAAAGTGTATTTCTAACAACTATGTAACAAATTCTTTGGCAAGTTGGATTTTCAGTTCTTTGTTTTCAACAAAATTAAAATAGGACCTAATTTGTCAGCTGGTAGATCATTATAATAAATTTTGCTGATAATTTGCTGTGTGATTTTTGGCATATAATTTGGAAGGAGTCCAAAGAATTGAATGACGTTACTATGACACATTTCTTCCTAAGATAATATTTATGTAAATAAGATTTCTCAGCACCTAAAATCTATTATTAGAAGGAGGGGGAACTGATGATGAGCCATCTCATTCTAATAATATTACTGTCAGCAAATATTGAAGCACCAACTGAAAAAAATCCCATCCATCTCACTTGAGATGGATTTTAACAAAATTTTTTAAACTGCTTATAAAATGTGTAATTTATTTGTGTAGATTGATCAGTTATTCATGAGAATTGTAATGAAAATCCAGGAGAATTTTTTAAAATTTCTTGGGGACTTGTTGGTCCCAGGAAAAATTTTAAATTTTAAGGTTGAAAAAAAAATAAATTTTAAGGTTGTTTCTAATTTTTTGTTACAAAGTGTTCAAGGATGATCAATAAAATACATTAAAACATTTAAAAATACATTTGCATAAAATTTTCTAGGGAATGTGGAACTATGAGTTGAGGGAGAAAAGAAATGAAAGTTTTCCAAGTTGTAAAGAAGAGTTTACATTAACATTAGGAATTACATAATTTATAACTGGTCAGCTGGGAATTACATATTTAAACTTTTTATTTTAAAAATTATGTTGACTTGGGGCCAGGGATTTAGCTCAGACCACCGCCTGCCTCGCAAGCGCAAGGCGCTGAGTTTGATCCCCGGTAACGCCCCCCCCCCAATAATAATAATTACAATGATTTACAAAAGCTCCGTGGAAAGCAAAATACTGTAGAAGGCTTAGTAATAATAAAGGTATTCTGTTAAAAAAAATTATATTGACTTTAAAACGATGTGGGAGAAGGCATATATAATTTTCAATGTAACTAAAAAGCTAGACGACCTGGGACCAAAGTGCAGCAAGGAGTACCTTGAGTAAGCTAAAGACGCTGCGTGCGAGCCCAGTGTGGGCATGAAAAACGCAGAGATGTGCTTCCCAACAGACCGGCTCCCTGGAACGTGAGATAGGAGTGTCCTGGTGGTAGCATTAAGTGAACAGGGAGGAGGGCCGTTGGATCCGCCACTGGTCAAGCACAGGTGTATCCCAGGGCTGCTCCATCAAGGGAAGGGACAGTCGGAGGTGAGGAAACACATGGGAAGACTGCAAAGGAGACCTGGCCCCTTGCTCCACCGGATGGACCGACCGGGAGGTCTCTCACACACACACCCCTTTCTCACTCTCTCTTTCTGTCTTTCTGCTCTGCAGTCACTGCTCAGCATCCCAGGCTCCCCTTTCCTCTCCCGCCACAACAGCAAGAGCAGCATCTTCAGCTTCCGGGGCCCTGGGCGTTTTCGAGATCCTGGCTCTGAGAATGAGTTCGCGGACGACGAGCACAGCACGGTGGAGGAGAGCGAGGGCCGCCGGGACTCGCTGTTCATCCCGATCCGGGCTCGAGAGCGCCGCAGCAGCTACAGCGGCTACAGCGGCTACAGCCAGGGCAGCCGCTCCTCGCGCATCTTCCCCAGCCTGCGGCGAAGCGTGAAGCGCAACAGCACGGTGGACTGCAACGGCGTGGTGTCCCTTATCGGAGGGCCTGGCTCCCACATCGGTGGGCGGCTCCTGCCAGAGGTGAAAATAGATAAGGCAGCTACTGAGGACAGTGTAAGGAGTACACACAGCCAGGCTCGGCATGGCAGTCTCCTGCCCCTGCCCTGCCCTGCCCAGCCCAACCCACTTGGCCTCTCCTCCCACTCCCGTTAATACCCCTGCCATCCCCTTCTCTCCCTCTGTTTGTTTCTGTACCTCTCTTTAGTGCTCCCTCTATTTCTCCTTTTCTTTGTTCCTTACTCCATTCCCCCCACCCTCCGTCCGTTTCAGACTCCTCCTTTCTCATCAACTGCTTTTACTTTACCTCTTCCTGCCCCTCTTTGCAAGTCTGTCTGCCCATTCGTTGCCCTCCCCAACCTGCCTTGACTGACTGCCGGGATGGAATGAGAATGTGCCACCACCAGTGGCCACCTCTGAGCCGGTTTGGAACCACCATTGCTTCTCTTCCCCCGTTTCCTCTCCCCTCTTAGGGAAACAGCTTGGAACTTAAAGGCTTTATTCTTTCTATTTTTTTCTTTAAATGCAGTATCATTTGGAATAATTTTCTGTCTCCTTTGCAAGGATGAGATGTAATTTTTCCAAAGAGGAATGTTCATTCATAGTTCTGGGGCAGGTGTTGTGTCCCAGAAGAGCCAGACAAGTAGAGCTTAACAAAACCAGTAGGAAACGCGAGCCGTCTCTTAGAAGGGATGGAAATAAGTCAAAGGAGGAAAAAGGCGGAGGTTGGGGCAAGAACACATGGTGTATGGGGGAGGAAGGAGAGGGGAAGCAAAAAATGAATATTAAATGTAATCAAATATCTGGCTCTGGAGGAGTTACAGATAATAGCTTCACAGAATCACTTGTCTAGGAGTTCAGATAATGGTCCCCCTCTTTGGGAAATGCTGTCTCTTTAACAGTTCTTTAAATTCTAAGCTGTTTATGCCTTTTTTTAAAGTTTAAATTCTTAAAATCTCAGTGATCCTAATCTTTTCCACCTCTATTCCTTAACTTTCCTGGGTGCCTCCTTCGCTGATTGTGGGTGCCTTGAGATAGCATGTGAGTCTAAGCTGCTCTAACACTGGAGTATCTAACCCAGCATGGAGATAGCCAGCCCTTCAATTAGCATGATGCATGTGTAGAGGAAAACTGGATAATTGTGGATAAAATCTTTCAGGATAATCTGTGTTTTAGGACTTTAGGGCAGTTATAAGAATATAGATAAAAATTCAGAATGCACCAGTAGGGGTGTTGCCTAGTGGTGGAGTGCTCCTTATTATGTACAAGGCCCTAGTTTCAATCCCAGCACCTAAAGCAAGCAGACAGGCAGGAAGGAAGGAATTAAAAAACCAGTATGAACGTGTTTGATATTATTTCATCTGTCCCTGACCTTTTATTTAAAAGGAAAATATTTTCCCCCTTACATGTGTAGTTTTTTACAAGGTACCAATTACACTCTGTGTGTGGGGTCGGGGGGTTGCTGGGATTGAACTCAGGGCCTCACACATACGAATGCAAGGTAAGTCCTCTACCACTGAGCTACACCCCATCCTATAAAGTATTTTCATATGTATTATTTAATTTGTTCCAAACAAATGTTTTATAAGACTAACAGTGAAGGTTACTATTCCTGTTTTTGAGATGGGGAACAGGCTCAGAGGACTTGTATTCCTTTAGGTTTTACACCTCTTCATCTTTAGAGCCAGAATCTTAGACTATTGAGAAACCCCAATCTTCTGTCTCCCAGTTAATTTTAATATCTTCTCTGCATAGTCACTTGGCCATTGCTTTTCTGGAGACCTGTTTATGTAATATGAACAACTACAGGAACAATGATAATAAATATGACTAAAGTTCCCCCAAACCCAGAGAGCTAGCCAAAATAAATACTTTAGATGATTATCTTTATGTTTAACTTTGAATCTTATTAATTCTATATCTGAGGGTAAACTGTGGGCTCCACAATTATATAGATAATTATATTCTCTTGGGCTAGGGATTTAGCTCAGTGGTTTCGCCACCTGCTGCGCAAGCTCAAGGACCTGAGTTCAATCCCCGGTACCAGAAAAAAAAAATTATATTCTCTTAAAAAAAGAAGAGCTGATAACGACAAGGTAGGTCAGCATGATAGTATAGTTGGGGCAATGCAAATGTGTAGAGCTAAATTGAATGCTGATATCATGGTATTTTTTTTTTTTTGGTACCAGGAATCGAACTCGGGTCCTTGCACTTGCGCAGCAGGCAGCGAAACCACTGAGCTAAATTCCCGGCCCCATATCCTGTCATGACATTTTAAAAAAATGATTAAGCCAAATAACTTGCTTTTCCCTGAAGAGAAGATATAAGAAAAAGATGTCAGGAAGGAGTTTCACCTCTAGTTTAAGGCAGATGATCAGGTTTGGGGATTTTGTTTTTGTTTTTTCAGCAGCTTCTGTTATACTGTGTGGGAGAAAAATTTGAGACTCAGTTGAGCAGATGGCTATGGAATATAAGGCTTTCTGCACCACCGTGCACTATGGCCTACAGAGCTCTGCCTTTGGTTTTTGGGGAGCCTGCATACTCAGCACCCTATAAGCACTTAGGAGATTCTCTATAGGGTCTCAAGTGATGATGGTGACTGAATTGAGGATTCCCAATGCCAAGGAATCAGACCTCAAAGTGGCAGGAAAATGTAGGTAGGCAAGAGGGTATCATTTCTAAGGGCTTCATAACTAGGAAAATTATTTCATTAGAAGCCATAAAAAAAAAAACCCTCTTATAGCTAGCTGTTCCTGGTATGGGAAAATATTATATTAATAGTACCAAAAGAACAAAGCAAATAAACAGAATGCATATAATCTATGGTCTGAGATCAAAGCCATATAAAGACAAATTACATTTTAAAAGATGACTGGTAAAAGCTAGCAGTAGTTGCCTTTAAGAGGAGAAATTGCTAGTGACTTTTTTCTTTTTTTTTTCCTATACTTTTCCAGTTTTCTACAATGGACATAATAATTATAGCTATCATATACTGAATTTTACCATAGTGTGCATACATACATATAATTTAATTCTTATCACCAGTCTATTCAGTATGTGATTTTTGACCTCAGAGACTTTAGGAACTTGCATAAGTAGAACTTATGCCAAGGTTTTCTTGATGTCAGAGAGATCTTCCTGGCAGTTTAAATATTAATTCCTTTGAAAAGTGGGGAAAATAGTCATTTTTCTTGGAAGGATACAATATATTAATACTTTTAGGTTAATATTGCTAATTTTAATTATAAAATTTGAGGTATTTATTTCTTATCCGGCAGCTCAGGCCAGATGAACAATTACCTCTTTGCACTAGGATACAGTGATTCACACCATCAAAACTGTTGCATGTGTCCACAGCCAAGGATTAACTTATCTTCACCTGAGCCATTAGAATGCTTTCAGTTATATATACTCTTTTTTTTCCCCCATTAACTTTATTGGTACATTTTAGATATACAATACAGTTACATTAATCATTGGGATCTTGTACCT